GAGAGCGATTTCATGCACTAGAGGATAAATGACCAAGGCCTCGGTGCCAGATGTCCCAGGTCGTTTGAGTATTACTGGCTTTGATGTTGTTGGTTGCCAATGCAAGAGTAGTGGGTTCAAACGAGGTGGGTAAGATCCGAGCCATGTCCTTCAGATCGGTCGATCGATCAGACCATTGTCCAGCTTCCACCACATACACCTTATCCACCTTGTGTGCTCGAAGTACCTCGAGCTCACCTTTCATGACAGAACACTTTCCACCACCAAACACCACTGTTGCTCCGAGCGAGTCAAGTCGAGATACCGAGATGAGGTTGAATCCCAAATCAGGTACATAAAGAACTCGACTAAGTGTTACTTTGTGAGCGAGATGGTTTGTAAGATTGACCAAGCCACACGAGCTTGCTGTAAGAGTTCTCCCTCCAGCAGTTGTGATTTGAGCGATCGACTCGGTTGATTTGAGATCTTTCATCCAGTTGATATCCCCACTCATGTGTTCACTTGCCCCAGAGTCAAGAATCCAATGACTTGAACGAGCGGCCAGCGAGATTGAGTTGATGTCGGTGGTGAGGAGAAGATGTTCAATATTGTTGCATTCAAACGAGGTGATTGCTTGCGAGGCAACGACAGCTGTCTCAGTCTTTACAGGAGCAGCAACCTCGTTCGATCGACCCTTGTCTTTCTTTCCCTTCCATTTCTTGGTCCTACCTCGCTCATTCAAGGATGCAGGAACTGAGCAGTCCACTACCCAATGATCGACCTATCCACATCGAGCACAGGGATGTTCCTTACTTGGTCCCTTCCCTGCCTTCTTCAATCCAGCATAGAACACCATGAGCGAGTCTTCGTCCGAGCGAGCAGCTGAGGTTTGTCGCCAAGAAAGTGAGGAAGCTTGAGCTGCTAGAGCTTTGTCATTTGTTTGGTTCCTCTGACCTGCGTTCACTTGAAGGATTTCGATCTTGATGTCTTCCACAGATGGTGTATCATCTTCCTTCCAGATGCCGTCAATGAACGAACTGTTGCGACCCGTCCTTGTGAGACCTGAAGAACAAAGACGGAGTGGAAGATAAAGGTTTAGATGGTCTTGGACCAAGACGAATGAAATGGTCCGTGTACTGTGAAGTGATCAGATGATAGTCAAGTCA